CACCACCAAAGCAATACATGAAGATTTGATTTCATTGTGGAAGACAATGAAATCATCAATTGATAAATTAGTTGATGAAGGTTTTGAAGATGAGTATGTACATGTTGCAGGTAAAAACTCTAGTACTATTTGACAAAATCGTTATTTCAATGTATTGTTTAAAAACAACAACTAATGATTCTATTGCTTAAATTTTATTGCAAAGGTGACGTGCGTAGATGTTATGAATTGATTTTTTTCTTGGTTAATTGAAATTCCCGAGTCATGTAGATCAGTTCTTGTTTCAAGATTATGGAAACAATAAAAATAGGCCAAAGCTTACCTTGTATTTTTTCTTTATGTTTAAGAATCAGCATGATAATAACATTCAAAGTAAATTTTTTTGTTTGAAAATTAGAAATAGAGAAAAATTATCTAACCAAATGACAAAAAAATTTTCGAAATAAATATTTTCCAAAATTTATAGAAGGATAAAAATAATCAATAAACAGTATATAACAAATAATATTATTATAGCCATAATTATTAAAGGCTTAAAGAAAGAAATTTAGAGTCTATATTTTAGTTCTTCTGGAGATTTGTTTTCATTATTCACATTTAAGAACAATTTGCTTGCCAACTGAAGGTGATTGATTGGTGATTAACCGATTTGAAGTAGTGAGATACTAAAAATAGTACTAATTAAAAACTTTTAGAAATGGAAGAATTCATTTTTGATGATTTGTTATTATTTTCAGAATGACATAAAAATAAATAACGTAGATCCATGCATATTTTACAGAAAAAGAAATTTTAATTTATTTTTTTTCACCAATTCATTCTTTTATTTAAATTTTTTTTCTAAAAAAAGTAAATTTTTAATCAAAAAATGTTTACGCTCATACCAATAATTGCTATGACAATTATTTTATATATTGTCCAATCTTACTACAATGACACTAACAGATGCCGGACCTTCCTATTCCCAATATTCGGCACTATGCCACAATAATATTCCAACATCGATTTGACATCTCAAAATTTTTCTCGATTGTAGCGAGAAATATGGCGACTTGTATGAAATCCAAATAGAGAGGTGGTAATTGGCAATCTCAAATAATTTGACAACATGTTTCTCTACACGACCAAAAAAAAAAACAATTACTTTAGGCGATTTTGGAGGACGAGAGCGGATTGAAAGATTTAGGTCTTTGAATCGTGGATTAATATTTAACAACTTGACGAAAGCTTGGAAATTCAATCGACAAAATTTTTATTGACATAAAAGTTTTGATGAGGTTGTTATGGCTGCCGTTTATAATTATTTTGTCAAAATGGATACTCTTTGGAAGGATTTTATTGTTTATGACGACGATCGCGTTAGTAGTAAAGAAGAGAAAGTGATTGATTTAGCTAGCAGCTTGGTTTCAAAGAGTATCGGTAGATTTGATTATTAATGTCACAACTAGCACAAATTCTTACATAGCAGAATCATATTATATATTATTAAAAGAAAAACAAAAACAAAAACAAAACCTACTAATAATAATTATAAAATCAACGCGGGATCATTGTTGAATAATAATGGTAAGGCTAGTTTAGAAAAATGGAAAGAATCCGAGAAAATTTGTTAAGTCCTTTAGAGAAATGATTAGAGCTACCCAAATGTTTACGAAAAAATCTTTATTAAAAGTTTAAATAAAAAATGGCCAACAAATTGGATGGAACCATTCTAGAGAAATGTGGAGAGATATCGAAGCAATACCCTTTATATAAAGAATTAAACTATGATATCTTAACCTCAATGCTGACCATTAATACACCAGGGAGAGAAAAAATAGCAAAAGTACTTTTACCAACAATAAATTTGATGATGACGAAGACTTAAACGACAATAATAACGGACAATTGTCCGTGGAAACCGTTAACAAGTTAGAATACTGCGAAGCAATGATTCAAGAAGTTGGACGTATTTTACCTAGTGATGTTAGCCGGAACAAGTTGGTGGGTACGTATGACCACCCAATACAAGATTTACAGTTGCAATACAACAGAATGAGGCCGATTGGAAAGATGCCAAAGCTTTTAACCTTGATCGTTTCCGTGGATCTGATAGAACCATCAAGGAACATAGTTTAATGGTTTTGGTGACGGATTGAGGATTGTCCTGGCAGGGAGATTGGTAATGATTGAATTGAAGAGCATGTTGATATTGAGTTGGAAAATTGAGGCGCTTTCAATGAATATTTGTAAATGTATTATTATTTAATAATAATATTTAATGTCATTCATTCGTTTGTATTTAATAATAAAAGGAGCCATCGTTATATTTGTTTATAATTTTATTTTTTGCCGATTTTTATTTTTGTTTGCCAAATGCCATGAAAAGAAAATGCGAAAAAAAAAATTTTTATATCGAATAATCAACGAGAATATGATTATTGATAAAATATTATGAAGAATTGAAAAAGAAAAAAAAAAAGAAAAAATTATATTATGTAAAAAATAAATAAATAATAACATTGTATTTACAAAACTTTTTATAAAATGGAAAAAAAATCGAATTAAATTGTTTTTTACGAAAACAACGAATTATTTTTTTTTTACGAGTTGGAATAAAAATATTTTGTAATAATAATTTATGAGACAGTATAAATATCTTCGGAGAATTGAAAACTATAATTTCTTTTATGACAAGAACCAATTTGTTGGTTGCTATTGTTGTTATTATCGCTATTACTACTATTTGCATTTCTGGGCTTTGGTAAATTTTTAAATCTATACAATCTACTTGATTGCATTAAACTATATCGTGATGGTGACGAACTTCTTCTAGTTGTAGATGATGATGATGATGTTGAAGTGGTGACATTATCTTCTTCGCTCTCATCATCATTATTTAACCATGGTTCTTCTTTTCTTTCTAATAATTCAATACCTTCATCAGCTTCAAATTTGTCTTCGCCATAATAACGATCAAGTATTTCTATAATTCTATTATAAATGTACTCAGCATTTGGTCTATTAACAGGGTCGGCGTCCCAGCATTGTTTCATTAACAAAATATAATTTTCAGGCAAGTATTTTTGATTGCTGGGTGTTTTAGGACGTAAGCCTTTCACGATGTCAATAGCCAACTTATAATCATGCGATCGATTGCCAAATGGTGTCTCGCCATCAATCAATTCCCACATAATAATTCCAAGACTGTAAATATCCGATTTCGTAGTATATCCATCACCTCTCAAAGCTTCTGGTGCAATATATGGCAAGTTTCCGTAAATATTTCCTACTCCAGATGATGATGATGATGATGATGGCTTATTAATTGGACCAGAGAATCCTAAATCACCCAACTTCCAATCTTTCAATTCACTAGAATACAAAACATTTCCAGAGTGCAAGTTTTTATGTATGGAATTTGCTTCATGAATATGTAATAGACAATCAGCGATTTTCTTTATTATACTATATTTTTTTGACCAACTCAAATTTGAAACATTGTTGGCATTGTCTTTAACAAACTCTTTCAAGTCATAATCCATTTTACGCATGACGATCATGTAGTCTGATGTGGTTGGGTCTTTGGTGATACCGTAACATGTTACAACATATCCCAGTTTCATATTTAATGTAAGATATGATTCGGCCTAAAAAAAAATAGAATGAGATTATTTTAATTGAGCCAAATTTTTTTTAAATCAAATTTCTTTCTTTCATTCTAAAAAGAATGAAACAATTACCTCTTCAAACCAATCATTTCCATGATTTTTGAAATTGTCTAGACGTTTTAATATGACATCTTTTGGACCGGAGCGATATAACGAGTGGCTTTCAGGTAACCATTCTTCGTTTGGACCTTGAGACCAGACAGCATTGAAAATTGTAGAATAAAAATTTTTTGATTTGAATTGCACATTGTTGAAGTTTTCATAAGGTATCCATTCAACAATTCCATATGGGACCAGAGTGTTAAGTTGGCATTTACGAATTAATTCATCGATTCCTTGATTACCAGAGGTCCAAGACATAAACTGTTTTTCCAGATGTTGTCTAATACACAGTTCACAATACTCAATCGAGTAACACCATTTTTCACATTGGTCACAAAATCTTTTGCTACCATCTTTAAACGACACTTTATAAACATCCACCAAATGATTTAGTTGAATTAATGCAGCGGATTTTTCTTTGGAGTTTAATGAGGTGTCATGTAGGATTGATCGGTATAAGAAAGAACTTTGTTCGTCGATTCCTCCGTGAATTGTTGAATTCAACGATAGTATGGCATTTCTCAAAGCATCAAGTACTGCACTCTCCCTAACAATTGTTGTTGTTGATTCCATTCTGATAAATTTGTTTTTAGTTTATTTTTGAGAAATTGGTTTCTTTTTTATTTATTTTATAAAAAAAATTTTTCTTGAATTTCCTGAGAAATATTTAAAGAATTTTTTTTTAAGGATTTTTTTATTATTATTTATAAAGAAAAAAATATTTGTTTTGACTATAATTGTTTGTGGATTTAATCCTTTTTTTTATAGTTTTTTTTTTAATTATAAAAAAAAAAATTATATGCGAGATGTGAGAGAAGAAGTTGGTTGGTTTCAAGATTTATTATTAAAAAAATTTTTTTATCACAAAACAAACAAAAAAATAAATTAATAATTTTTTTATTTTTTAAATTTCACCGTCTTGTTATCATCCATCAACAAGTGTGAAACTAAGAACAATTATAAAATTAAAGAACAATTATTTGAAAACTAGCTCGCTCCAAAAACAAATGTCACAACAAACAAAACAATCTAATTCATCATCACACGTTCTTTTTTTTTTCTTTTTTTGAAAATTTATTCTAAAAAAAGAATTTTGGCTAATTTTTTTACCAATTAGTTATATCATATCATATGTTATAGAGATAAAGATGTGGAAAAATAAAAAAATAATAAATAAAAAATGTTTAAAATCAAAAAAATAAAATAAAATAAAAAAGTTAAACAAATGAACCCATATGCATAGATTTTGATGAAAATATAAAAATAGTATACTTTGTGTTTGGTCTATCATAAAGTTTGTTCAAATTGGTAATTGAATTGCTATATTTAATATCCTGTTTGTTTAGCTTATTTCAGTTATTTTAAGATTATTTTTATTTTTTATTTATTGATTGTTATTGTGATAATTAATTAATTACTATATAAATAATAATAGTAGACCTATATAGCGAGTGGCTCGTTCAATTTATAATTCCTAATTCTGAAACATTAATATTAAAGAGCGAGTTATGGCAACAATATACTAAATATGTGGGATATATTGGTATAATGCAAAAAGTGCATATAAAAAATGTGGGCATTAGCATATAATTTAAAATTTATACAAGTCAATCAATGACTATCTTCTTTCTTCTACCATTTACTACCATCATAACACATAATAACCAATTACCAAATAATTGTTCATTAATCTATATTTAATTTATGTAACATCATCATGTATGTACGTTATGTAATAAAATCATATGTGGTGTGGAGATTGTTGATTAATAAAATAAAACTGTTGAAAATTTGCGGGAAATGCAAGAGAATATAATTTGGAAAGAAACCCATATGCAATGGAAGAAATTTCCGAATAATAGAAATTATGAAGATCATTCCAGTGATTAAAACTCGTCATTATATAATGAATTGTTGTGATGATCATTGGCAATAATAGTAACTATAATTGTAATAATCACGTCGGCAATAAATAAATCTAACTCGCTTTTTAATGCTTAACAAGAATAATTTTTCGTTTCTATACTATTTCCCCAAAGCTTGATTTTTTCTTTGTCTTAATTGTCTTAAAATTGTAAATAATAAATGATGGATGATAAATGATAATAGATGATAATAAATGATAATAAATGATAATAAATGATAATAAATGAAATAATAAATAAATAATAAATAAAATTCACATAAACAACGAATAACATTACCAAACACTTCTACATAAAGATCAAATAACAGGAACGCAAACACGTAATTTACAAATATGATGAATCAGAGACCTCCCAGTCAGTTTGAACTATAGATCCCGATTGAATTCGAAATTGAATGAATCTAATTAGTATTAATATGTTTAGTTTTTATTTCGTTGATCACTTTGTTTCCCAATTCTTTCAATTTCAATATCTAAATATGCGTTGGGAAAATTGCGTTCACAACATCAAACACGAAAATATTGTTTTGTTTATTGAAGAACAACAATAATAAATAATAGTGATGGCGTGTGTGTGATGTGATGTTTAAATATTTATAGTCGAGTGAGAGTGAGAACACACGTAAATACATAAATATTCACATTCACACTTGAAAGCTTAAAAAATTTTTTTCTCAAGTAATTGTGACACTCAATTGATTCATAACCAATTAACTGTTATGAATCTAACTCGTATTTATCACACCATCATTCCTTCTTTCTTCTTTATTGCCGTTGTCATTTCCACATCGAATTCCCGAGTTACACTCGCTAATGTATTAATAATTTGTAGTCAAAGACTAATTTAAAGACGGTAATGGATTAATTAGGTTGATTTATGGATCTATCTGAAACAGAAACAGCAACATAATATAAAGAACAAAGAGACAAAAAATGACGATCATGACAAAGTGATCCAATTCCGTTCAATTGTTTTTTTTTGTACCGAATAATTTCATTTAAAAAAGATTTTAAAATGAACCACATTTTATTTGTTGTTTGTTTTGTTTATCTTGAGTTTTTTTTTCAATTCAGAAAATATTTTCACTTGGCGTCCCATTAAATTATTATAATTACCATTTTTATTTGTTTTTCAAAAACATACAACATTGCAAGATACGAAAAATTAAATGCATGCATGCGTTTAAAAATAAAATAAGGATTTAATTAAAGTAATTGCTTAAAATGTAGTGAGTGCGAAAAAACTCTGAAAACTAATTCTTCCTTTGATTTTAATTTCTATTTATAAAGTTATCCGAATAATGAATTTATTTTATTGGTTTAAAGCCGTTTTGTGGCGTTTATTATCAAAATTAAAGCCGTTTTGTGGCGCTTATACATTGCAGATCAAGTGCCATTCAGCGCACAAAAAGGTACTCTAATTTGCCGGTTTTTTTCGGCAGAATTTTCATTCTTCCAGTAAATCTTTTAATTTTATTATTATTTCTGACGATCATTTTACATTTTCATCCATTTCAGAAAAAATTTCCGAAATTTTCACAAGAAAATTTTGTGCGCTGGTGTCATTATAACTGTTACATGGATAACATTTTTGTCGTTTCATTTCAAAAAAAAAAATTTGTTGTTTTTCTTTTTAGAGCCAGACTAATGCTTCCTAACAACTATTAAAATAGGAGTCTAGCTTAATTATTTATTATTCTACGCCAGGCTGCAAGGGTTACTTTTTTTCACATTAAGGTTTTCTTTCAACTAACGCGCAGAATAAAGCAAACTCAACAGTAATAGTTGTGTCAAAGTGTTTCTTACAAAGTTGTTTATAATCACTCAGGAGGTTGTATTGGAAAAATTTTGACTTTTATTATAAGAAATTGATTCATAATTATTTATATGGTTATTATTTTTAGAATCACATAAACCAAATTTCAAAAATAATATTAATAATGAATCAAAAATTTTATTATCTATTAATATGTAAAGAAAATATATTTATGAAATTGAATTACAGGTTAACATAGCATGGAATATTAGTAATCACTTTATACATAAATGTGTATATATATATATATATATATTCAAAATAAGGATCAAAAAATTTTTTTATCAAAAGATTCACAGTGTCTACCATATTTAGTTACCAGAAGACAATTTAGAAGAAAAATAACTAACAATAACAATAAATCATATATACAACTAGAAACAAATGTAGAGAGGATCTATCACCACTATCTTTTTATTTAATCAATCAATATCCACATACACATCATTTTGTATATTAATAATTATGTATAAAATATCCAATCTTTGTCACTTCACATTTGTTTCATCTTTTTCCTGATATCATTATAATCATTCCTATAATCATAAAAATAAAACATAAAAATTTTTTCAATATCTCTATAATAATATCTACATATTACTGTATTCTTTTAATTATTAATTTTGAATAAATGATCTTACAAGTATAGAGTCTAATCCTTGTTGTTGTGACAAATGAATATGCCTTGCATGAATTGCATCTTGCACCATGAAGTGTATCTGCATCACATCTTGTTTGAATGATTCGATTAAATCTCTTATTGTATGTACCATAATTATAATAGGAAAAATAAATGGCACTTCAAATACCTTTGTTTGAAATCCTATTTAAAGTAATAGTATGAAAAACAATAGGGAAAATAAATAGCATTAAATTTACACTTCAATATCTTCGTTTGTAATCCTATTTAAAGTAACAGAATGAAAAACAATAAATAAATTAATAACTACTCAAAAAAACCAAATCTGTTATGCGGATTTAAATTCCACCTAAAAAGCATTAAAATTATCTGGAATGAATATTATTTAACTATTGCATCTAAATTTATTATTTCAAAAAGTTGAGATGTTGTGCGTTACCTAATTTCATTATATATAACCAATGTCCAACTTCAGGTCAAGATTTTCTTAAAGCTTTATTTGTTTACCCTGGTGAAAAATATCAAAATAAAGGTTTTTTCGTATTTTTATAATTAAAGAAATGATTTGATTAATTGTGCAAGTTTATGCATGCAAGCATGATTTTTTTCATATAAAATTCTATGTCAATCGAAAAATTTATTATTAATATAAATAAATAACATATGTAAAATTTTTGGGTTAAAATCATATCAATTGACCAAAAGATGACAATTATTTCAAGATTATATAAGTACTGATGTTACTGCTATTGTTAAAGGTATGTGTGATTATATTAATATATTAATTTCTTTTTCCAAAGGTTGAACGATCTGACGATCTGACAGTGTACAATCTGTTACGCGATCATATTTATTTATTATTAATAGAAAATAGAAATTATTTGTATTTGATAGAAAATTCAACATCAAAATATTCTAATTAATATTCCTATAGTAACAATATACTATTAATAATAAATTATTAAAAGGATATGTATGCAACGTTGCATCAACTATTAATTATTGATTACTTTTTTATTTTTTATTTTTTCAAAGAAAAAAAATGGAACGATCTGGTGGTGTACGATCAGAAATGATTGTTACACATAATTGTTATAATCTTTCAATAATAATAATAATAATAATAATAATAATTTATTTTTTTATTACCAACTTGTATCCATGGCATTATGATTATTGCCATTGCCACATCATTACCACCACCACCACCACCATCATACCATCATTACCCACCTTTAGAGCTTTGTTCCGAATATTCAAACCTTGCTTGATGTACACCAAAGGTCTATCATTAATAAATAAATTTCTTTATTGTTAATTATTATTTCTCTAATTCTTCGTATTCATAATTATCAAACAATAAATTAACTACTATTATTATTTTGAAATTTTGACCAAGAAAATTCAACATCAAAATATTCTAATTAATATTCCTATAGTAACAATATACTATTAATAATAAATTATTAAAAGGATATGTATGCAACGTTGCATCAACTATTAATTATTGATTACTTTTTTATTTTTTATTTTTTCAAAGAAAAAAAATGGAACGATCTGGTGGTGTACGATCAGAAATGATTGTTACACATAATTGTTATAATCTTTCAATAATAATAATAATAATAATAATAATAATTTATTTTTTTATTACCAACTTGTATCCATGGCATTATGATTATTGCCATTGCCACATCATTACCACCACCACCACCACCATCATACCATCATTACCCACCTTTAGAGCTTTGTTCCGAATATTCAAACCTTGCTTGATGTACACCAAAGGTCTATCATTAATAAATAAATTTCTTTATTGTTAATTATTATTTCTCTAATTCTTCGTATTCATAATTATCAAACAATAAATTAACTACTATTATTATTTTGAAATTTTGACCATGTAATTAGAGATTGACCCGGGTTGGGTCCAACCGGGTACCACCTGGGTGGAGAAAAATGAATGTAACACAATGGGATGTCTGATTTATCAATTTTTTTTACATTTCATATGTATTATCCAATCTCTTATAAATAATGATTTGATCAACAATATCATTAGAGTTGTATTAATATATACTAATGAATTATTTTTGTTTTTTGGATTTTGTGTAATGTCACAATGACATTTAACATGATCAACATTTTTTATTTTTTTATATTACGTTACATTTATCGTATGTATTTTTAATACAGATTATCCCAACCTCTTTATAAATAATAATTTAGTCAACAGTATTGTCGGAGTTGCCTTGTTACATATTAATATATTAATGTTTTTGAAAAAGAACATTGAATGCGAATTTCCATATAATATATACCACAATGATGTTTAACATTATGTCTGATTTATAATTCATTTTTATAATAATTCAAACAGTTTAGATTGTAAAGTTTGGAATTAATAAAAAAATAAAATTATTTTTTTATCATATATGTAAATTAAATCCATATATAGAAAGATCTACTCACTCCGTCGGGTAAACCCGTGGGTCACCCAGGTGAAGTTTTTTTAGACGGGTCCAATCTCTACATGTAATTTTAAAATTCTAATAACCATAAATCAGTCCTTTATAATTAAAAGCAAAACTTTTCTAACACTACCTTCCAAGTGGTTGTAAGCGACTTTGTATGGAACACTTTGGCACAACTGTTGCTGCTGAGTTTGCTTTAGTCTGCATACTAATTGAGCGATAATCTTAAAATAAGTGTGAGAAAAGAAATACTTCCGACCTGGCATAGAATAACCAATATTTAAGCTAGCCTTTTCTTTTAACTGTTGTTAAAAGTCCCAATCTGGCTCTGAAAATCGCTTGCTACATGAAAAACGGAGATTTTTTTTTTTGAAGTGGACAATAATTTTATTCGTGTAACGTTTATATTGAATGACACTTGATCTGCAATGTCCCGCAACTAATAAACTCAATTAATTTGTCGATCATTATTGACCAATCACAAAGAAATTCCGTTATGCTTTCAATTTATTTATTATTATAAAAATATTTAATTTTGCATTTTTCAAATCGATATAGATAAATAGATAGAACATATAAACAGATAAACCAAAAGATGTATTTATACATTTCCATAATAAAACAACTTTTTTTTATTTTATTAATCTGCATACATGTTGTCGAGGTTATACCATTGGGTACAGATGAAGAGGATCTTAATAATTCAATGGTAAATTTGTTTTTAAAAAATTTATATGATAACAATAACAAATAATAAATATGTAATAACGACAATAAATATATGCATTTAAGGTCATAAATCTACTGCAAGAATGTTTTTCAGACCACATGTTTAATTACGACAAATATTTAAGTATAAGTTCTGATCAGTTGAATTCTATAAAGCATGATGATTCAATGCCAATAGAGGAAAAAAAAGAAAAGATAGATATTATTAGTAATGAATTGAATCACATCGAATCGCTAGAGAATCTTACATTTGGATTATTGGAATATTTTTTTAAACTCGTTGAAGAATATCAGAATGGTGATGTAAAGTCACGGTCTAATTTTAAAAAAGAAACACTGAAATTAATTTCAACTTTTCACAATTCTGCATTAAAAATGAATGATACAGAGTTTTTCCAACATTTATTAAATCAATATCATCCAAACGGAAACATAAGGCATGAAAAATTAATCAATAATCATCAAAAAATTAATGAAGTGAAAAAAGACAATTTAGCTTTAGATTTGGTTGATGACATGTTAAAAGAAGTCAGTGATTCTGCCGATCATCTTGAAGAAAATATGAATAATAATAAATTTGCTGATAATCCAAAGATGCACGGATCTCTTGAAACTGTTGTTAGATTGGAGGAAGATGAAGGCGATTTTTTTTCAATGAATGAACAGGAAGGTGATTCAATTGATGATGACGAAATACATAGCCATCATAGATTAGTTGGATTAGTTGATCGTGATAATAATGAATACGTTCTTACTAGGCCTCATGACTTAACTGTCTTTTACGAAGGTAAGGGACAATGTGTAATTTTTGTCATATTTTTAGTTTATGATTACAATAATTCTCTTACCAAATATTTCAGATGCACAACTTTTACGAGATATAATTGTTACAATAGTTTCATCTTTTGTATTTGGCTCAATTTCAAATAGTATTGGATTACCAGGTATATATTACATTCCAATATATAAATGTGTGTCACACATATACATTAGTTGTTATCTAATTAAATTATATGATTAAATTACTATTAACATATTTGAAAAAAACCAAATAAGCGTTTTTGGGCTATATTATCGCTGGGTGTTTACTTGGGCCTGCAGGATACAACGTAATTCAGGTAATTAACTAATTAACCAATTTAATTTAATTGATTTTTTAATATATAACAATTAATATTATCATAACAATTAATACCATGATAACAATTTTAGGAATTAATTCAAACAGAAACATTATCACAATTAGGAGTTGTCTTTATTGTGTTTATGTTGGGACTTGGATTTTCATTTGAAAAACTTAAATCTTCATGGAAATTTGCACTTGGTAGCGCATCATTGATATTCATTTCAACACTTAGCTTTTTTATTTTTTCTGGTTTCATCATTGGCGCAAGTATCAATCAAGCTATTTTTATTGGTGCATGTGTATCACTCTCTAGTACAACTGTTGTTGAACGTTTGAAATGTCAAGAGCTTGAACCATTGTATGGTTTATTGGTTATGCAAGATATTTTATTTGGACTTTTATTGGTATTTTATTGGTATTTTATTGATTTTTGAATTTTAAATTTTATGATTATATTAATTTTATTTATTATATAAATATATATAGGCAGCTTTACCAGCACTTTCTAAATCTGGAATTGATGTGATTTTAGCTATTGGTCATTTACTTTTATCTTTAATGGTGTTTTTTGGGTTAAGTTATATAATCACAAAACTTCCAGTTGCTTGGATTCTTAGAACGACCAAAAAAAGCAATAATCACGAACTCTTCCTTCTTGGCTCAATATCATTATGTTTATTGATGTCACAGTTTTCACTTTTACTTGGTCTTGGTGTTGAAATCGGTTGTTTTGTTGCAGGAGTGTTTATACATAATTGTAGATATATTATTGATTCTTCAATTGGCGTGGTTGAACCAGTTAAAGATTTGTTTTCATGTTTATTTTTTGCCAGCATAGGACTTCACATTTATCCCAGTTTTTTGATTAATGAAGCACCATTATTGCTTATACTTACTGCGGGAGCTGTAGGATTTAAATTTATTAATAGTAGCCTTGCATTAGCGATATTAGGTCATCCAATTCAACGTGCTTCAACAATGGCAGTTGGTTTGGCTCAAATTAGTGAATTTGCATTTGTGCTTGGAAGTCGTGCAAAAGGATATGGAATCATATCGAGAGAAGCATACTATCTTCTATTAACAACTACTTCTTTAACACTTGTGGTGACACCAATATTATGGAATATATTATTCAATAAAAAAAAAGATTTTAATAGTAGTATTGGTGGTGGCAATACAGGTGGGGTGATACCATTTTCAATAAACAATCCTGGAAAGGTTGAATAAAACACCTTTTTATATAATTAATTTTAAAAATAATAATAATTGATATAATAATGAAAAACCTTAATATATTTTTTTTTTTGGTATTTATTTATAATATATTTGATTGATTGGATATTTATTATGTAATATTATAGATAATTTTATTATTATTAATAATGTTATTTTTAATTTTGTAAATAGTAAATATGATTGGCATGAAATATACGAAAATAATATATAAACGAGGGTTTTATCAAAACTCCGCAAAAATTTATGTTCGTTTTTAACACATTGTTCATATTTACCTTTGGCAATTCCCAAAATAAAAAAGGAAACCTATGAAATTTTTAGTAAAAATAGACAGTCTTAATTGTACAGTGAGTGCACCCTCTATAAATGCATCCCTCCATAAATGCATGCTATGTCTCATTCCCAACCTCGGGAGTTAGAGATAAATGCACACCCTCCATACTCTGCACCGCACGGTCTTCACCCATCCCCGTTCATATAAAACCACACTCTCTAAATGCACGTCCGTGACTTTCACGTGATTTATTTGCTAAATAAATTCGTGTTGCATTAATATTAATTAATTTCAGTCTGGGATTTTACCATATCGGTATGTTGCTCTGCCGATCAATTCATATATGTTACAAATGAATTCACAAGATGTTACTCGTCATATCGAAGTCACATTTTTTTAAAAAAAAAATTAAATTAATAATTGAAATAAATAGTCCAAAACTTTCTTTTTCATAATCTGTTAATAATCTGTGATAATCTGTTGATTTGCTTAAAGTATGTTTCTATCAAAATCAGGGAAAATTTAAACGCGAGGTGTTCAATTTCGTTTTTTTTTTATTTAACTATTATTTATTTAAAAACTTTTAGTGGAAAGACAACCTGCTAGTACCTTACCATGCTTGTTCACCACACATGCTCAGAAATATTTGGAAAGTAAGCTGAAACAATGTGAAATCAAAAGTAATCAATACTGGAGACAAGCATTGGGAAATGCAGTAAGGGAACGTCTACATCTATTTACTGAATACTTTCCTGAATTATCTTTGTTAATTGATTCTTTGGAAAATCATTCAATATGTGAAAAACATTATAATCAGATTGTTGCTACTAACAATTTTTATCAGACTCTTTTAAATTCAAATATAAATAAAAATTCAGATATTCCTATTATTCAAAAAAAAGATCCCGGGAAATCAATAATTTGGAATTACACACAAGTACCATTGACATTGTAGCAGGCGAAAATTATATTGGTGAGTCTAACATTACAGAGGAGCTTCAAAGAACAAGAGACATGCTAAAAATGAGTGAATCAGAACATCAAAAACAATCAATAATTATTTTGGATCTTAATAATAAAATCATGCAACTACAACAACAATTAAAAAATTATGAACATGAAGTATCAGAATTAAAAAAGAATTTAGATACTTCTTATAATCACATAGATGAAATTCAGAATCTATATGAGGAACAATTTAGCAAAAATAAATATCTCCTTGAACAATGGGATTCACGTTTTAGCAATCAACAAAAACATATAGTGTGAGATCAAAATCCACGTCTCACACAAATCTAAGAAATTGTTTAATGATAATAAAAGATAGTTTTGAGAGTAAAGCATAAATATTATTTTAACCAAATCAATATACTAGGAAATAGTAATCAATATCTTTTTTAGATTTTACACTATATATCCTGATCACATTTTTTGGTGGGTGCCCTCCTAGCTGTTTTCCTCTTTGCCATATACCAAGTCAGGTACATCTCTAAAACTACTAAATAAGGTTGATTATTTTACCTACTAAAAGAAAAGAAAAGAAATAAAAAATAATAAAAATAATAGAAACAAATATAAATAAGAGAAAATAATTATGCACGGGATTAGTATAAATTCGTCATTAGGGATCATTATGAAAATATAATGTTCGAAGACCACAAGGACAAGGACAAGGACAAGGACAGTGTTATTTATTATAATATTATTATATAAAAACATCAGAGTTAACTAAATAACTTTGAGTTTATTAAAAAATTAAAGATTACATGAAAGATAAATTTACAATGTATTTATACATTTTAGAGGTTCTATCATCTAGTTCTCCGATTTCTTTAATATCCTAAATTATATTAATTAATGTATTCTTTCATCATTATTTAAACCTTCCATGTAGAATTATTTTCTATAGTGCAAGTCACTTAGTCGCTGAACTTTTTATTGGCTGTGTAGATCCTATATCCTCTCCAAAAATGGAAATGTATGACCAAAAAAACAAATCATAGAATTAAAGCTAAGACCTTTCTCTACAATTCTATGATTTCATTTTGTT